TAATCGCAAGTCGGAAGAGCACTTCTGCCAGTAGTAGTTTTATAGTCCGTATAGTCCGTCCATGTAACTGTCCCGGTATGTATACGTGCATACGCGTGCATTGGATGAGAGAGAGAGAGAGGGGGGGTGGACATCAAGAGCGGAAGAGCACTTCTGCCAGTAGTAGTTGCCGGCGCGTTATAGTCCGTCCATGTAACTGTCCCGGTATGTATACGTGCATACGCGTGCATTGGATGAGAGAGAGAGAGAGGGGGGGTGGGAGGATGAGACATCAAGAGAGAGAGAGAGAGAGAAGGAAGAGAGTATTCGGATGAGCGATGGAAAACAATGTAATTTCGATTTTTTTGCAGCGTTTTTTTCTCAAAATCATAGACACAACGAAATATATTTCACTATCTACCGTGTCACGTGATTGAAATAATTTTTCGTGTTTTCACAGTGTCATCGGTTGGGGAAACAAAATCATTAAAAATTACCGTCCCGGTTTGAATGAGTTTACTGAATGAGGGACTCGTGAGAAAGACGGACTCGAGCGCGCGAGGGGGGAAAACGAGAAGGGGGACCCGGCGGGAAAACTCGAAGCCGCGTGTTATCACGGCGCGGCGCAACGTGATGATGTCGTGACGTTTTGGCAAAAACGTGGACGTGAACGCACAGGTGGATCACCGGCGCCTGTCGCGCCGGCACGAGGGTTGATAACGTTCGCGAGAGGAGACGCGGGAGGAGGAGACTGCAGGGGAGGAGAACGGCAGTGAAATGATACGAGGCGCGCTATCTGCGTCTCGTCGTGTCTGTGCGTGTGTCACGCGCTTTTACATGCGTGCGTGCGTATACATGTACACGCGTGCGGGGTGTTCTGGTACTCACCGGAGTTGTAGTATTCCTTAAAGTAGCGCGTCGCCGCGCGTTGGACGATCGAGTAATACAAGTTCACGTACGACGTCGACTGATTCTGCGCCGAGAGCGCCATTTACACTGTATTATCTCCGCGCGCGGGTCACCGTGTATTCATATAAATATGTATAGGTCGCGTATACGCGGCGCGCGTTTCACGCGGAGCGTACGCGCGTATTTCGCGGATCACGACGCGCGTGTAGCGCGATATAGCGAAGCGCGGCGCGGCAACGTGCGAGCGCGCGGCGCTCGTCTCGTCGGCCTGTCTCTCCTCTTTCCTACGTCTACCGCACGACGATGCGTTCTCCTCTTTTTTTCCTCTTGTCGCTGCCGTCTCTTCTCCTCCTTCCTCCACCGTTTCCTCTACGTCCTTCTCGTCGTCGTCGTCGTTGTCGTCGTCGTCGTCTTCGTCGTCGGCCTCCTCCTTTAGATCCGCCGCGGCCGTGAAACTTTTCTTATCGTTGACGCGCCGTCCCTCGTGCGTTTCCGTACGGCCTTCAGACAGCAGCGAGACGGTCCCGCATGCCGTAGAGCGGCCCGCGACTTTAATCCTCGCCACACTCGCTTTCGGGTTACCCGCGCCGGTAGACACAATCTCGGTAGACTCGGCCTGAGCCCCCCGAGTAACTCGCCAAGACCGAGACACTGGCGAGCGCTCTGCGGCGTTGCCGCGCTTCCGTCGTCGCGGTGCACACGCGATCAGAGTGGGGGATTTCTGGACTGGTTCGGGTTTGGGATGGTATAGAGAACACACACACACACACATACATACATACACATATACACATATACACATCACATCGGGGAAGAGAGGACGCGAGAGCGGGGAGAAGGTGCCGGTGGCGGCGGCGGCGGCGGCGGCGGCGGCAGCGACGGTAGCGACGGTCGCAGGGGTGGATGCATCCGCGGGGGCAATCGCTTCCCCCGCTCGGTCCGTCAAAATACAGAGGGTGGAGGGGACCAAGTTGTCCAAGGACACCTCAAGTCGCGGAGAGTCTGTCACAAAGTGACACGTGACACATGCCGCCATCGGGCCTAATATTTAACAATAACGGAGCGATAAGAGAGCACTCGTGATACTCTCGCGTTCTTTCACTCATTGAATCACGTTCCAATTATTTTACGATTCGTCGATGCATTGTATTTGACAACTCTTTTTAATTTTATCAAAGTGTTGCGCGATAATTTTGCTCAAGATAATCTTCAGATTAGATCGACTTTTCGATGCATCGTGTTGCGACGCGAGAAATTAAGAGATAGCGTGATCAACGGACTCGAGGGAGAACATTAAGATTTCAATTCACAATTAAAAGCTGCTCGAGGAAATCGATAACGATTGCTGATCATCCTCACAAAAATGTTACGTTTCTCGGAAAATTTCTTTAGCTCCCATAATCTAGCGCGGTTTATCGCAGATATCCCGGACATGATATTCAACCGAGTTTCAATTTTCGAATGTCGTTATTATTATCGATGATCCAATTTTTCGATTTTGAAAATTGCCCGAATTTTATCATCTCGTTCGTTCGCGCGAAATCGGTAGAAAAGACCCGGGGTTGCCGGGATTTAACGCTCGTTCCTGGCGAGAGGAGGCTGATGGTGGTGGCGATGGTGGAGAACGAGACGGCCGGCGAGGACCGACGGCTGGAGGGGGTGGGTCGGGAGGAGGCGAAGCGAGGAGGTTATGTTCGTTGAACCGGTGGAAGGGGTTTGATACCGCGTCGTCGGGGGATGACGATCCACGCGGTGGGGCAACCTTTCGGCGTAGGGGAACGACCGGTGCGCGGCGGGGAACCGTCCGTTCGCATCTAGCCTCTCTCTCTCTCTCTCTCTGCCCCCCGCCGACTCCCGCTTCCGCCTCGGGGATCTCCTCCGACCGTCTCTCCCACCCCCGCTTTCTCGCGTGGGGTTAGATTCACGCGCCAGGTTGATTAGGGCCTCCCTCCTGCGGCTGCGACGGAGGCCGCGCGCGCTATCACGCACGTTTCCCGCCATACAATGTCCGCGCACCCGATGATTTTCACTGACTGTGCCCCCGCGGCCTCGCCGCGGCCACGTGCTCGTTCTCGCGGCGCGCGCTTTGAGCGCGCCGCGAAAACAAAGCCGGCGCCACCGCGAGAACGGCGGACTTTGTGCTAAGAGGCGGGACGCGACGCGTTCGGTATACGATATATTTCCTCTCGTCAACAGAAAGATTCATCGTCAAAAGGAGATTCTCTCTTTCTTTCTCTCTCTCTCTCTCTCTCTCTCTCTCTCTCTCTCTGTCCAGCCGTTCGTCACACACCTCCCCCTCGCCCACCCCATCCTCGCCACCCGCGATCCTCTCTCACTCTCGGCAGCGACGTGTACCCCTCAATGCGCGCTGCGCCGTGATGCATCGCGCTGGCTGGCGGCGGCATCGCCTCCGCGAGTCACAAGGTACGCTCGTGCCGCGAATACGAACTGCCTCTCCCAAATCAATATCACTCGGCGAAAAAAAAAGGAGAAAGAAAAAAAAAACGGAGGAAGGAAGAAAGAGAACGACGACTCGGCACCTATAATTGCCGAACTTCCGCGATAACCGTCTCCGCTCTCTGTCCCCGGTCTCGCCGCCGATCGTCGCGGCGAAAGAGCGCACCGTCGCGTCTTCTGTTTCCCTCCTGCGTCCCCCTCCCCCCCCCTGCCCCCCGCC